CTCAAAAGTCCTTGGCTAGTGTAAGCACTACCTAGCAACAACTAAAACATCGGTGTGTTATCAACTTTGTTCCCATCCTAAATCCAAAACACAGCACTGTACCAGCTACTAGGAAGGAAATTAACTCTATCCCTGCCGAAACCAGGACAAGCTGTTCGAAAGCCAAAGCTCCAAGCGCATGAACACGCACATTTCTGCATAGATTGAGGCCTCATAAGCACCAGTCTGCAAAAGACTGTTTATAGCTGGTTTGGGTAAAACCCAGGCAATGGGCATAACTTGTTCCAAAGGGAGGGAAGAGCTGCAGTGCAAGCTCTTTACCGTCAGAGAGCTTCAGTTAGTGGTGTACGCAGGAGGTGGCGCTGACTCAGGGCTAAGACTCTGAGGTCTGTGCAGATTTACCGATTTGCCTGCATTGCCCCCTCTTTCCCAAGTTTAGCTGTAAACCTTCCTCCCAGCCACCGTGACACGGGTGCATTTCTTGCGAGGTGGAACAGAAAACAAGGAGAGTAAAACCCAGCAGTCGGAGCTGCAGGAAGAGCTGGGGGAGACCTCGGCCCCATGCTCAACGCAGTGCCGGGTAAACCCCGAGCCTGCCTGGAGCTGAAGTCGGCTCGGTGCCTCACAGGTCTGCTAGCACAGGGGCACCCTCTGGCACCAGTCACCAGAGCTTGTGACACCATGGTCTCCAGCAAAGGGGCGCTCAGCTTTTTGGCCATTAGAGGGGAGCAAAAGCCCGTGGAAGTGCAGGGAGGCATCACCCACGGAGCAGAGCCCTTCACTCCCCGAAAGCAAGAGCAGGCAGGAGGCTGGCTGTGCTCCTTCCTGAGACTCCTGAGCTGTTAGCTCTCCTCCCCTGGAGAAGCAGGGCCCTCAGACCCAGGGAGAAGAGAGGATTTCTTGCTCCTTGCAAGCAGTCCTTCTGTCTTCCTTCTGCTTCCCCAGCCTCAGGTCAGCTGCATTGCCTTGCAAGAGTCGCCCAAATAGGCTGATAACAAACAGTTTAGGTTCAAATTCTTCACAGTACCAGAGGAACTAGTCCTTCCTTGCAGCTCCCTGAACGGCGTTTGACTGGCAGTCATTAAGAGACACAGCTCAGCAATAATATCTCTTCTTTACCCTGGCAAGATACAGCCGTAAGAAGCAGCCCTCACATCTGTACAGTGTTTTGGCATGGTCCTTCTGAAGGATGTGTATGATGATTGAGAAAGTTGGGCATTTTAGAACAATTTTGCATGGAGCTAGCCAAAGCGTTATCTCCTTGATGCATACGTACTCTAAAAGATTGCTTCTGGGGAACACGCTGGACGGGACGGCCTTCCCCCTGCCAGGCAAGACAGTGTTTCCCAACAGGACAAAACCAAAGCAGACCCACTGAACGGGAGGATGAGGACTCTCAGAAGGGACTACTTGGAGTCCTTACTAGTGCACCAAGTTATATCTTGCTCTCTGACCTAGTTGCTCTTACCACTGTGAAACATCTTCAAAGAGAAAATAACATAAGGGGTAGCTAATGTCCTAAGGGTTAAACAAAACGATGGCGACATCAAGAGCTATTATGACAAAGATGTCGCAATCTGCAATCACCCTTCGGATGAATGCTATCACAGCTCTAAGCTAAGGGTTGCAAATCCCATATGAAACAGCGATGGTGGAAATCGCCTCTAAGGAGCTTTCTTGTTGGCTTTGTGGTAGCATGTACCATTTACAAAACTTTTTGTTCTTTGAAGCCTGTAAGTAGGCCAGCTGGTTTTTGGAAACAGTGATGAAGACAAGCGCACTAAGTGAGTAGCTGGGATTTTGCCTAGCATTGCTACATCTTCAAACTTCGTTCTGAAAACAACAGTCGAATACACGTGCAGAATCGGGAGAACCTGAGGTTGGTAGAGAATTTGTCAATTTAATTCATCAAAGTCTGTTTTCACAGCTGAAAATTCAGAGGTTGAAGGAGACCAGTCTGTCTACCTAACAAGTTCTTGAACAAATACATGTACGAAAATCCTATTGAAGGACTTCTGATTAAGATTGAAGGTGTCCTTTAAACAAGCTGATCAGCTACATCTTTATCACAGAAGTCTCAAAGCTCAGGCTGAGTTTAAAAAAACATCTGAAGGCATTCATGCCTGTACCTATTTGTGTTTTCTGAACTGTTCGTTAAAGAGAGACTTTGTACAAGGCAACGTTCAGAATTTCTCAGCCAGAACAGGTTCGATGCTTTAAACAAGAGTGAAATAAACCACAGCACAATAACAACATCATTGCATTAACCAAATTGTCATCGTGAGTTGTTGCCTATGCTGGTTACAGCGTGTAAGAGCTCTCTACCCTACATTCTCAAACATACAAAGCACCTTCCCCTTTGCGAAGCCAAACAGATTGTGCCCAGTCATTCACGCGGCCAGACCTTGCCAATGGCTCTGTGGCGGCCCTTCTCCACTTCATCATTCTCCTGCTCCAAAGCCCAATGAAGTCACCTGCACTTACAGTTAGTAGTAGTTACAGCAACACCAGGCACACACAAAACTTCATGTCTTTCCTCCAGATGAAGTCTATCAAGGCTGCAGAGTCTTGGTCTATTTGCCAATCCCAGGCAAAGTTGAGAGAGCAAAATGAAAGTTCAGCACGTTGCTTTGTAAAACCCACTGGCTACAGAAGTGGGACTAAAATGCTATTCCTGTAACCAGAGCATGAGAAAGTGCTCATTTCTGCCTTTTTACAAAAATAAAATAAAATAAAATAAAATAAAATAAAATAATCAGCATTCACCCTACTTGATTCTGTCTTGGGGACTATTTTGATCCCTGGTAAAGCTTTGCTCGCCACCGCCAGCTACTTGCCTTCTTTTTTGCAGCTTTTTGGAGAACCCCTCGTGAAATGTCTTTGGAAAGTCCTGCTAATGAGAACCCACTGTCCTTCATCTGGCACTGAACTGATACAGTCAGAGGATTCCTTGGTTGGCAAGGTGTGACCTGCAAAGGAGAACAGTCTTCAAGCCTTTGGTTTGACATCTGGGGTTTTTTTGAACCCATTAGGTGCAAGGCTTACTGTAATACAACTTCCCTGATCAGACTCAACCTCTTCTTACAATATAGGCGCTCCATTTGCTGCTGGGCAGTCCTGACAAACCGTGGATGGGTTGCAATCCAAACACTGGACTGTGAAAGGTGTCTGCGTGCTGCCCAAAAGGTCTGCAGTTGTTTCTTCAGGTCCTCCCCACTTCCTAACCCAAACTACAGGCGGGGAAATGATGGCCCATTTGACTCAGAGGAGCTAAGGCTGAATGATAAAGCAGCTTTGCATCCAGAGCCGAGGCCTGAGGGAATGCACACAGGTCTGGATATGGGGGTATTATAAAAATACGTTTCTTCTGAAACAAGAACATGGCCCTGAAGGCCACCTCAGCCAGACCTGGGACAAGAAGGGGGATATTTTTACTGTTAGGCAGTTGCGGGCAGTGGAGGGCAGCGGCAGCAGCACAGC